ATATATAAATAATAAGGGCAAGGGTAATATTTTTCTCAAGAAACTTGAAAATAACAGTTTTAATTATGCCCCCCCCCCCCCAATTGCATGGTGTTCTGAGCGTTGGCGTCGTCACATAAAATTTATTGGGGGGGGGGACCATACTTAAAACTGTTATTTTCAAGATTCTTGAGAAAAAGAGAAAAATATTACCCTTGTCCTTATTATATATATGTATATGTATCTTAATGTATGACAAAAGCATGATATCAAACAGAAGAAAATTATATTTCACAATCAATTCAATATCTTTTACTAACATTCAATATATAATTTTGAAAACTGAAACATCTTGATTCTATGATGCAGAGTGTTCATCTACGTCCTCATATATAATTTAAGAATCAGCTTTAAGAATTAAGTTTAAAGGAATATACAAATTAGAAATCGCAAACTACCATTTAAAAGCAGGAAAAAACGATAAGAAAAAGTAAGAATCACTATTAAGATAAACGGAATTAAAATTTTGAAACCAGTTTGATTGCCGAATTTAGCTTGAAGTGTCTTTCAATTACACTATGTTTTTTTCGGCAAATAAACATACGTTTTTAATCTCACCTTCTCAATCGATGATTGATCATGTTTTGATTTTCTTTTTCTCCCCTAATGTGTTAATTTGTAATCCTTTTTTTTTTTTTGACAAGAATTTAAGAAATTTATCCTACTAGTAGTCTTTACGAAACATCCTGAAAACAATTCTATGAAAAAATACTATTAAGTGCGCAGAAAATTACTAATCAATTGTAGTATGTCTAATGGCATTATAGTATAGAGTATGTCTAAATTACCGTCTGAGTGGAAACTTTCAGACTAGTAAAAACATTTAAGAAAATCGAAAAACACAATTTAAATCCCTTTTATTTAATTCTTAAAGTATATTATTAAAAAATAATATTACATACAAGATTTGTAATCACGTCATTTTCAGAAAAAAATTTAACAATCCCTAAGAATCAAAGATTATTGTTTGCTTTTAAATTCCTATCCTACATTAATAAAAATGCTACTGATGTTTTTTTTTTTTAAAGTTTATTTTTTAGTAAATTGAGGAAAATTTAAAGTTATTAAACGAAGGAATACAGATTTTTCCATTATCTACGCGTCTACCAGAAGTATGCTATGTCCAGCCATTACCTCGTATTCATAGAAAAATATTCTCAAAGATATTTGTTATGCTTTATTTGAAATAATTACATTTTTGACAGCATCACGGAAGTATTTTTCATTTATCAAGTTTGTCATAGTAGTTAAACGAGTTATCTAATATCGAGAGATTAAAAAAATACATTTTGTTTCTCAATGCGTTTTTTCAAATATGTTTGTTAAAACATGACTTTAAAACCGAAATTCCTCATATTTTCTTACTAAAATTGAAAAATATAACTTGAGATTTAATTATAAAAAGGTCATTTATTGCAGATTCTTTAATAATAAAGTATTTTTTGATTTGTTTCACCAGGTAAACTCAAGGAACAACATAAACGGCATTTAGGCGCAAGGTCCACGCCTATGTGTCGTGTTTATTTCGTTTATAGTTACGTTTTTGTAACATTTTTATGAAACTAAATATGTTAAAATCAACGGTAATTGAAATAAATAGCAAAAGTTATTATTATTTTTTGAGTAAAATTAATGGAGAAATATGTCTGAGGTAAATTTTGACTATAATGAGTTGGCATGCCTGATCAGTGGCAGCTATGTTTTGTTAATCTTTATTTTGTTTAATTGAACTTCTTAAAAAATGTGTTTCTCTTAATCTAACGTAAAGTCATTAAAAAGACCGAGAAATAACAATAAATAACAAAATTTAATTATTTTAACTTTATTAATTGCTTTGGTACAGGCTTGTGCATGCTGATTAATATCGACTTATTGATTACTAGCTGTACCCGTTCACACGTTGCTGTGATTAATGATCAAATGTATACAATACATCAAAATGGAAATTAATAATAAAATTATCCCTACTTATATGTCATTTGAATATAATGAAACGTAGATATACATAGTTGATGGTAGAATAAACATGTTTCTTCACTTGTGATATTAAACAATATTGCAAACGATATCATCATGAAATGAATGATATTTGATGATTGATGGTGAACTTTATCTTAGTAGTGCTTGTAAATATACAACATTTTTTGTTTTCCCATCTGGTGCAAGAACAAATAAATTTGATGGTTTTCCAACTCGTGAACACGCAACGTACAGCTGTCCATGTGAGAAGCATGGATTTATCAAATTTAATCCACATACTTGCAATGATTGTCCCTGTGCTTTGTTAATGGTCATTGCAAAGGCTAGTCGTACTGGAAACTGTAGACGTTTGAATTCAAATGGAGTATCCGTTGGTATCATGGGAATGCGTGGTATTAGTTCATGTTCTCCTTGGTGTTTTCCATTTAAAATGGTTGCCTCAATTATGTTATTCATTAATTTTTTTACTGATAGCCTAGTCCCATTGCATAGTCGCGGTGGATTTATATTTCGTAGAAGGATGATTGGGGAACCAATTTTCAAAGATAAAATATGCGGTGGCATTCCTGGTAGATCCAATGAATTTAAAAATTCTATTGGATAATTAACTGATTCATCTTGATTGACAACAGTATCTATGGATTTATATGTTGTTTCTTCATCAGGTATTTCATTTTGAATTTTGCAGTTTATTAAATTCACATCAATGTTTTTGGCTGCCAATATAGCACGCTCACTAACCCATTGATTATTTTTATAATTCTGCGATAAATTTGGAAAAACTTTTGCAATCAATTCATCAGTGGATTTTACAATGTGACAAAAGTTTTCTGGTAATGTAATACAGTGTGTGGATTGGTCCATTTCTATTTTACCATTCCCAATATCTAACAATTGTTTTGTAAATCATTCAGAAGATTCATCTTGTTGTAATTGAATGCGCATATTGGTCTTTAAAGATATTTTCTCCACATACCGCCATAACACTCATGATTTGAGACATGCATTCAATTCATCTGCTGGTGTTGAACGGGGTATGACTGGTAGAGTTTGTCTAAAATCACCAGCTAGCAAAATGAGTGCACCACCAAAGAGCTGCTCATTTCCTCTCAAATCTTTTAATGTGCGATTGAGTGCTACTAATGATTTCTTGTGTGCCATGGTGCATGGCCATATTTAATAAATCAGTGCAGATTTTGGCATACGCCGATGATGTAGATATCATCGCAAGATCTAGGACAGCACTGAGTGAAAATTTTTTGGCACTGGAAAAATCGGCTAGAAAAATTAACTTAAGAGTGAATGTCGAGAAAACAAAATATATGTATTGTGGTACAATGGAAACCATCCCTAAATTGTTTAAATTACGTTCTTTTAAATTTGAATCCGTAAAAAATTTTACTTATATAGGATCAGAAATAAACTATCAAAATAACATCAATCCTGAAATCAGAAAAAGAATAATCGCAGCCAATCGCTGCTTCTATGGTTTAAGATCATTATTGAAATCTCACTTAATAAAAAGAAAGACTAAGATCTTACTTTATAAGGTATTAATCAAGTCAGTTTTGACTTATGCTTCAGAGACATGGACTTTAACAAAAAGGGAAGAGAAGTTATTAGCAACCTTCGAAAGGAAGGTCCTACGAACCATCTTTGGCCCTATACTCGATAACGACAACTGGAGGAAAAGATATAATTTTGAAATATATAGGATCTTTGATGGCGATGATATAATTAAATCTATTAAGTTAAGTTGAAAGAGATGGGCCGGGCATGTAGTGAGAATGAGCCCAGAACGAGCAGCATTGAGAGTCTCTAATGCAACCCCCTCCAATAAAAGGCCCAGAAGAATCCCCAAAAAGAGATGGAAGGACTGTGTGGATGAGGATTTTGCCATCCTAAAAGTAAAGAACTGAAAAACAATTGCTGGGAGAAGGGCAGATTGGGGAAAGCTTTTGAGGAAGGCCCAGGCTCACAAAGGGCTGTCGTGCCAATGCTGATGGTATGTCAGAGAAAGTTTCGTGACAAAACCACACAAAAAACAGAAAATATCTACAAGAATCTTCCCCTACCTAAAAGAAATCCCCCCTAAAAATTCTAGATAATTGCCTGTTTGAGACAATTTATGAATAGGTAGGGGTCTGTTGATATTTGACATTTTAAAAAAAGAGGACAAAAGAGCCCAGGGCCATAAATACGATAAAGATAATTTTAAAATGCTAAGACCATTTTTCCATATCCTTTCCCTTAAGGAGGCTATTTTTGGGGTATCAAATTGCTCATTGAAGGAAAGGGTGGCCATGACATTTCTTGTAGTTCTCTAAACACCTGTTTTATTTTTTTTTATATAGTGCATTTTTTGTGCGTATTTTACATTTTACTAATTTTCTTTTAATTATATAATATAATAAGTTGCACTATGTAAAAATAAGAAAGAGAGAAAAAAAAAGTTATGGAAACAAAACAGAAATATTTTCTCAAAATAATGGACCCTGGCTTCCCATTTATTGGAGGGTAGGGGGGTCCGGAGCCCTCGGACCCCTATGGTTCCGACGCCAGTGAATGCTACAACTGTTTTAAAAAAGGCTGTGTTTTTATTTACTCACAAAATCGGGATTTTATTTTTCACATATATACAAAAACAGGAACTGAGGTCTACAATAATTTTAGATTCGGAGAAATGTGAAAAGATTTTTCTCAAAATATCAAAAACAGGTTATTTTATTTTCTCGAAACATTGATTAATTTTTTTTTAATTTCACAAAAACCTGTTCTGTAGTTAAAAGACTCGAATAAAACTTTACAAAATTAGCAATTATAAGTTCTAGATAAATAAAAGTAACATTAAAAAAATAAAATTAGGTACCTTATGTATTAAAAAAAAATTAGCAGCAGTCTCAAAAGACTTTCACAGCTTTAATATGAATTCAAAGATCTGCTGCAATTCTAATAACAATGCATACCCTTAAATGGATTTTTTTAAAAATATATTCTAGTTTTACTTGACCTTTTCTATATAGTCAATAAATTAAAACTGTCTTAAACGATAGCATTTCTGTTTTGTGTAACTTTGCAACGACTGATACTATGTAATATCTTTATTGACATATATTATTTTTTAGCAGCAAAACTGAATGATTGAAGTCAGAAAATGTCTGCAAGCTAGCACTATTTTGATTTTTAAATGTAAGTAATGTACACTGGTAAATTCAGTTTTCAATCATTTCATTAAAATAGTATCTATCTATCTATATATAATATCCCCATCCCCCACAAAATGAATTTTGAAATAAAAGGATTTTTAAAACTCTTTTTCGTTTTTCAAAAGCCCTTAAAGATGCTTTTTTTCATGGGGTGTTTTTTAAAGTGCTTAATTTTTCCTTTTCTAAAATGAGGTTTTTTCCTTTACCGTGACGATCTTCGCTGCGTATTATGCAAAAGCGTGGTTTTCACTTTGTTCTATTCAACGTTTTCATAATTCATTCAACCACAATTCATTTCGGGGTACCATCGTCCCACAACGTATGATAGCCCCCCAATCATGTTACATGTTTGATGAAATACTTGGGAGTCTGCATGCGCATCTACTGAGCTCAGTTCGGTGAAAATCTTGTACTCTTATGTGCAACTCTGCTACATTTTGCAACATATTCTCAATTTCAGACATCATTTTCCATTCTCTGAAACTGAACTAAAAAATCTTGATCTTTTTATCGTGGCTAATATGATCAAGAAAAGAATTCTTTGTCAGAAACTAGTTATTTTAACATGATCATGTAAAGTCTTTGAACATTATTTTGCATTTTGTTAATGCATATAGTGCTTAAAATTATTTTCTGACTGCTTAAAAAATACTTTGCTTATTTTTGTTGAGAGATTTCGGTACGCACCCTGTCTAGTTAAATGCCACTACCCGGTATACACATGTCCGGTATACCCTACATCAATGCTTTAAGTTCCAGTGTCACGGTCCGGTGTATATTTACCTGATGTACCCTACACTGATTTTTTTTAAGGTTCAGTGTCACTGTTCGATATATATATTTACCAGTACTCCGAATATTGATATTTCTCCTAATCTATCCTCAGAAGATATTGAAATATCGTATAAATATAATAATATCAGCGAATAAATAAATATTAAATCAGATGTACCAAATATTTCGGACATTCACCAAAGTGACTATGTGATTGTTGACATTCACTGGTGAAAGTTGACAATCTCTTCATTTCCACAGTAGCAACTTGATTTCGACGATTTTTCAGTCATGGTGATAACTACATTTCGAAAATAGTTTTTTAAAGAAAAGTAGTTGCAGTTAAGTACATTTTATTTTTATTTGATAACCGTAGTTGAACAGCTGTCCCGGTTTTTGGGTTTACGACTACTAATAATCAACTGCGTAACCTTGTAAATTTTTGATCCAATACAGAAGACAAAGGAACTCCTGTATCAAGTATTGGGAGAAATTTACCTTTGTGGAGGACGTTCTGATGGAACTAACCCGCATTTGGAGTCTGCATGCGCATCTACTGAGCTCGGTGAAAATCTTGTACTCTTATGTGCAACTCTGCTACATTTTGCAACATATAACATAGGACGCTCTGATGGAACTAACCCGCTTTTGCATTACATGGAGAGGAAAATCACGAGAACCTTCCACGGTTAGCCTTACGGCAAGGGGTCTCTAACCCATGACCCGTCTACCACTGACGTAGGTTAACATTCACCTGTTGACATTTTCTTCATTTCGATCACTAACAGTAATATATGCATTTCAACATTTTTTGCTGATTCGGAAGATCATTGGTTTTATTTCTTTCACGCATCAGTTTTTAAAAGTTGAAATGCATCACTGAGTCGAAAATTCATGAACTGTTTTATTTGTTGTTTAATTATTCAGGCAAACATTTTGTTTTCCCGATTGAGTAAAAACGCTTTAAAAATATTCTTTGGGTTAAGTTTAAGCGACATTTGAAACTGTTTCAACTGTCTAAGGTCAAAAATATTTCTTAAACAGAAAAAACTAGTTATTGGTACTAATTTTATTGGTACTCATTAAGTTAAGGACCAACAAATTTAATTTTTAAAAATTTTTTTACAATAAATTCTAAGATGAACTATGTTAAATAATAAGCAAGTGCTTTAAATATAAAATATTTAGCTCATTAAAGAACGTTTAATATTTCTTATAAATTTGTAAATAAATTTACGAAGCGGAAGTAAAAACACTTTATTTACATTTTCAAAAAATAGAATTCCAATTCTTTCAAAGGGCCCTAATTCCTGTGCCCCTCTGGGCCCCAAACATGAACAGGGCTGCGTGCTGTTTTATAATATAACATCCTTTTGTTACAGTAACAAAAAGTTTCATCAGATTTGGTCAAAAATAAGTTTTAACTCATTTTGGTTATAACAACCAACGTTAGTTTTGGTGGTTCAGAAGATAGAGCGCTTGCCTTCCAATGAGGTGAATCAGGTGAATCAGAGGTGATCAGGTGAATCAGAGGTCATCAATGAGGTGAATCAGATTCGAATCCCAGAGATGGCTGGTCGATAAATATTCCGCATCCAGCTTGCACCGACAACAGTGCTGATATAAAATATCCTCAGTTGTAGGTGGACAATCCCCTTGTTGTCTGGCTCACCTTGGGAGGTTTTCTTCTTTGTGAAACTCAAATGCAGGATAGTCCCATCAAAAAGTCCTCCACAAAGACAAATTTCTCCCAATACCAAATCCAGGATTTCTCTTGTCTTCTGGATTGGGTCTAAAATTACAAGGTTATTGAGTTGAACATTAGTAGTCATAAACCCAAATTTAGGTGGACTGTATTCAACGACAATTATAAATGAAATTATAAATAATGGTTTATAAAATCTTCTTTAGATTAAGATTTA